GGAATCGGCCTGCACGTACAGCTTCGTGCACGCCCGTACCGAGTAGCTCCTGGGAAGCACAGGTGCTGCGTGTGATTAGTACGCAGCCCCCGTCCTTCTCTATGGGACTACGCGGCCGTACGCCCCCCTACGCTCACCTCAAGTGCAGGTCTGTAGGGGTGCGTGTTTCCTGGCTCGGACGCAGACAGGATCCATCCTGTCAGCGTACGAGTACGCTCACCCGCACGGACGTGCAGGGCGGGTGAGCGTAGGGGGGCGGACGGCTGCGTATTCCCATAGAGAAGGACGGGGGCTGCGTACTAATCACACAAAGCACCATTTCTTCCCGGGAGCTGCTCGATACGGCCGTGCACGCAGCACGAGATGTACGTGTCGGCCGATTCCAGTGTGAATGAGCACTCAGTCGGTTTATATGCTGTGTAGCTTTTGGCTGTGTTCACCAATGTCCATCACAGATCAGTTCCTGTTGCAGCCTCTAACCTTGTGACTTGCTACAAAGTTATAAAACTGCAGTCAGTTTACAGGGCTTCCTTGTACAAGGCATCTGCAGGAGACTGGGGAATTATGTCCTCCTGCCTGCAGCAGACTGGTGACATCAGCATAATCTAGGTACAGTCAGTTATCTGGAGCCATGTGTTATTGATAAAAGGTAGAGCTTTTCTGGGGGAAAAAAATACACAGTTGCTGTATATTGTGACATGCTGAGAATGTACTCATGCAGCCATGTAAAGTTACTGAAAGGTCCACATAAGGAAAGAAGGACGAGTGGTTGCAGTAATAGAACAATTCTCAAGCTAGTTTATAATCTACAAATCTATATGTATCTATACTGTATGTAGTCATATAAAAACTCACTGTAAGGCCCCATTCACATGAGGACTAATGCTTATGCCAATTCAGGAATCCCAGGTGTCCCTCTTCACCTGCTGTAAACAACAAACAGAAAAAGAACACAGCGCTCTCTTAGGAATGTGGGGTCTGTGTGGGTGCAAATGATCTGGATTGCTGCTCTAAGAACAGGGGGAGAAACCTGTGAACTGAGAAAAAGGAGGGGGAAAATTAGAGCGCAAATCCTGGGAATGTGAGGGGTATAGGGACAAGCAGTGTCTGTATGTGGCGGGTGGAAAAACAAAAATTAATAAAATCACAAAAGGTGAAGGGCTTACTTGTGGAGCCGAGGTCCTGTCAAGGAGGGCCCTTTTGGAGTGTGGGCAGTGCGAGATGTACTCAGTGTTTCCCAGCAAGTGGACGGATGGATGAAGGAGGAATCAATGTGGACTGAATGCTGTATGTGCCTGGGGACTGGTGAAGAAGCTGCCTATGGTCTTGATGGCAGTGTGCTTAGGACGTGACGGAGTGAAAGGGACCGAGGGCTGGGAGGGGACGTGCACGGAACAGTGGTAAAGGAGCGACGCGTTTCGAGGTGATCCTCTTTTTCAAGCTCGAGTGAAAGGGTACTCACCCTCCACTTGCTGGGAAACACTGAGTACATCTCGCACTGCCCACACTCCAAAAGGGCCCTCCTTGACAGGACCTCGGCTCCACAAGTAAGTCCTTCACCTTTTGTGATTTTATTAATTTTTGTTTTTCCACCCGCCACATACAGACACTGGTTGTCCCTATACCCCTCACATTCCCAGGATTTGCGCTCTAATTTTCCCCCTCCTTTTTCTCTTCACCTGCTGTGCCTATTCAAGTTAATGACCGGGTGACAGCGGCCGCATCTGTCAGGGGAGGTCAGCATGTAATTGTACATGATATGATTACATGCAGTTTGGGATAGATGATTGTCCCTGGACACAGACATATTGAATCCAGAGACAACCACCTATCCCAAACCCAGGGCTGGATTAACATAGGGGCTACTGGAGCGTCAGCTCCAGGCCTACCACTGAAAATAGGCCCGGCTGGCATCGGATCACCTGTTGGCAATCTGGGCTGGCCAGGCTGAACAAAATCAGGCAGAGGCGCCGGCAGCTCCCTAATCAGGCATATTAGGCCCAGCAGCCGCCTGTTTAGAGAACTGTCTCTGCTGCTTCCCGTCTGACTGACCGACAGCACCCGGCCCATGATGCTCTTAATCCGGCCCTGTCCAAACCGCATGTAATCGGCTGCCACTGACAGATGCGGCTGCTGTCACCCTGTTGTTACTTGAACAGGCATCTGAACGGTGATACCTGGGATTCCTTCCACAAGAATCCACAGGTTCTAGACACAGAAATCCCGTGAATCCCCCATGTGAATGCAGCTTAAGGTACAAATTACAATAACAGCTGAAAATAAGTGCTTACTGAAAAAAATGTATATACTTTTCATTTAAAGATAGTTATACATTTAAAAAAATATAGTCTAAAGGAAATACCTGCCCTTCCATCATTCTGTGTTTACAGATAGGACTAATGTGAGAATAATGATTGTGTGGACTACCATGAATATTTTTACCAGACACTACTGAATGGTGGAAAATGACATCATACAATTTTGACGGTTTATTTAAGAAAGTCCCTTCGAATATTTGATTTGTATGATTAGGAAGTCAGATGACTCAGAACTAAGACGGGCAAATCAGATGTACTATGCTGTGTAGGAAAATATGATCTCATATCACCCAAGGACATGTGTTTCACCATTACACCGTATGCTATTTCCGCTGTCATCAACTTTCATGAAGAACTGTACTTTCCAGTTCAATCACTCATGTTGTAGCATATAGCTCTGTTCATTCAGAAACGGCCTGTCACAACTTCATAAATAGATGAATGGTAATTGTTGATGCATCTCTCTTTAAAACAAAAATGAATACATCATTGAATATCTTCATTTTTAATGTAAAGCTGGGGATATTATTTAGCAAAGCTTTTGTCAAACTGACAGACCTTAAAGGAGAACTATGGGGTCAGTGTTTTTCCCCATAGTTCTCCTTAGGGTAACGGGAGGACACGAACGAGCGTCCTCCCGTTACTCTAAGCTCAGTATACCGCGAGCTACAGCTTGCGGTATACTGAGACGCCGCAGCCGGAGCGGATCCCGACGTAGATGATGGGATCCGCCCAGCTGCGTGAGTGACAGCTGGCTCTGCCTATCTAGAGGCAGAGCCAGCTGTACCCGCCCCCTCCCCCGTCCGTTCCGCCAGTCAGCTCTGGCAGATCGGAGCGGGGAGGGGGGAATCCAGCCCTCCCCCTGTCACGGCAGAGAGCGTGTGACAGTCTCATTGTCACAGGTCGGCTAGAACTATGAGGTGAGTGGAAATCACTCATCTCATAGTTCTCCTTTAAAGCTGAATTCCACACAAACAGCTAACTGCACAGATAAAATACAGTGCATATAAGTGAATCGCTTTACCTGCCAAAGGATTTTTGATTTCTGACCATCCAGTTCTGAGATTTACACGGCTCCACCATACAGCACAGCCCTGTCCATCCAGCTTTCAGATTTACACATTCATTCAAGAAACTCCTGGACGAGTTCCCCGGAGACTATAATATACAGGGGTACAAGTACGCCTAAGAGCAAAATCATACATGGACAAATACACACGCACACACCTGCTCAAACATAAATGCACACACACAATAGGTTGGACTTGATGGACGTATGTCTTTATTCAACCTCAAATACTATGTAACACAGCTCCACCATACACACAGCACTGTCCATCCAGTTGTAAGATTTGCACAGCTCCACCATACAGCACAGCCCTGTCCATCCAGTTTTGAGATTTGCACAGCTCCACCATACAGCACAGCCCTGCAATCCAGTTTTAAGATTTACACAGCTCCACCATACAGCACAGCCCTGCAATCCAGTTTTAAGATTTACACAGCTCCACCATACACCACAGCCCTGTCTGGCAGGGAAAATAGACTTATTTGCCCCCAGCCTGTGAATGGACAATAAAAGGGTAATGCAGCAGACTAAACTCATCTCTCTCTGCTCTCTCCTCATATAAGCATGTTTAATGCAATGCAACCCAACTAACTGGCTCCTTTCTCTGCTTCTCCCTACCCTAGTCTGAGCTCTGCTATACAGGAACTGCAAGAGGCTGATCACAGATCCAGTACTTCAATCCCCCCTTCCCACACACACACACACACACACACACACACACACACACACACACTTCTCTGTGTCTCTGCACATTGGTAATTAATCCCAAACCATGGTTACATTGTATAATACATACATCATTACTTCGGACACTGACAGATTTAGCAGAAGCATTATACCTAATCAGTGAACTGCTGCATCTCCAAACACTTTTTCAAGATGAGACACGTAGGAGATGAAACAATTTTGTGATTTTTTTTATATTTATATTTTCTTTATCACGGTCTTAAAAAGAACCTGTTTTTAAAATATCTTTGTTACAAGAATTTGACATATTGCACATTATTTTTAGCATTCTTCTATGAGTCTGCAGGTGGAGTTTTAAAGTCTACTTCATGTGTTCGGGGTTCTCTGTTTGCCTATTTGATGGAAAAAAACCTGTTGTATACAGAGGTGGATGAATGAACACGGTGATGCGCCCTTTATGGTGTCACTCAGTCTAGAGTTTCAATCAGACACAGCAGAGCCCCCAGGTTGACTGCATCTTCTATGCTGTCATTTTAGATAACCCCTAGTGCTTTGGCAACTCGTTGTCTATTTGTATTAAATGTTTATTTTAAAAAACAAAAAAAGTTGTATATAGGTAGTTACCAGATATAAAATAAAAAACATAGACACTTTAAAAACAAAAAATTAAATTGAGCCAAAAACCATAGTTTCCATTTAAAGTGTATGTGACCCTAACAATAACCTTCCCTTATTTAATAGTATTCAGAAATACCAGCTCCCCTAATTTTCCCATCAGATGATTCATTTGAGGGCTTCACAACTGTTAAAACAAAGGAAACATTTGACTATGAGCATTCTAATTAATAGCCAGCTCATGCTTATGCTTTTGTTGTACTAATATGTAATAAAAGTCTTATGCTGTCTTTCTTTTTGACTTATCATAGAAAAGATGGCACCCAATGTTCCATCATCCGCTCCAACGTCTCCCATTCAAGACACAGAGGAGCTGCGGAGGAGGAAAATGGAAAAGAGGGCCAAGATTATCTCGGAGCTGATCCAGACAGAAAAGGACTACCTGAATGACCTGGAACTTTGTATCAAAGAAGTTGTTCATCCACTTAGGGAATATCATGTGAGTTTTTCCCTGTTGGTGTTTTTTTTTAACCAGAAATCTTTATCTAGTGAGATGTTATGTGCTAAGCAATGGGGGACATATGTCAATCAGTAACTTTACTATAGCCGAAATGCACAAACTCTGCCCATAAAAACGCGCTCAGACTTTTTTGCAGGATGCGCATATTTGTACCGTGCGTGTGCCGCTCTAGTGTGAAAAATGCACATTATAATGCATTGTTTTTCATGTTTAGCACAAAAACCACTCATGTGTGAATGAAGCGTAAAAATACATTCAAGTACCCTAACTATTAACAAAAATGTACCTTATTTGTGTATCACTCGGCTGTAGATCCTCAAATCATCTCTGAATTGGTGCTGACACTGTCCTTCCTTCTGGAGGGTGGCTACTTTTGTTCCCCATGGTCCCTGTGTGTGTTGTAAAGTAGCCACCGTTCCAAGCTCACTTCTGTGATGGACTACAATGTCAACACAAATTATTAAACTAAACGTGAGATTGTAGTCCATCACGGGAGTGAGCTTGGAGCGGTGGCTACACACACAGGGACTCACGGGAGTGAGCTTGGAGCAGTGGCTACACACACAGGGACCATGGGGAACAAAAGTAGCCACCCTCCAGAAGGAAGGACAGTGTCAGCACCAATTCAGAGATGATTTGAGGATCTACAGCTGAGAGATACACAAATAAGATACATTTTTGCTAATAGTTAAGGTATTTACACTTCAGTGTATTTTTAAGATTTAACTCCTGAGATGAGGGTTACTTTTACTCTCCATTGCTTAATACAATAGTGATAAAATACATGTAAGACACAACTATGTCTTCAAAGTATATCATTCTTCAGCTGAGATAGTTTTATCCTTTATAGGGCAAATGTGAGGGCTACTTGTGCTTTAAGCTGTGTTACCTAATTCACGTTACTAGCAGGGAAAGTTCAACTTGGATGACTTCCACATTATTGTTGGTGACATCATGTATTTGCTGATCCGTGTCACATGGAAATTAGTTCAAAAGGCAACGTCTATGGTTTCCTTTGGTTGTAATGTGATCCAGAGACGTAGTAGCTTGAATAGTGACATTGTGTGTGTGTGTGTGTGTGTGTGTGTGTATGTGTGCGTGTTTTAGTGTACATGTGTGTATGTACGTTTAAACACCTAAATATAAACGTATTCATAAACTATGTATGTACATGTGTGTGGTTTGTGTGCGTCTAGATCAGAAAGCCCTGCAGAATGTGTAGTTACCAACCTAAAATAGTTATGGTAGCTGTAAAAAATATATTTTAAAGCAGATAAACACTTATCCTTGAGCTTGAAAATTGTTCAGTTTTAGCTTTGAAGGAGAGCAGGCGTGCATTTGTTATGATTGAGAAAAAAGTAAATCCTAACTACTTCTTCTAGCCACCATCTCTGAGTTGGCTCTCAGCCAGCATCTCTGTAAACATATACACTCAGCTTAGTTGATTGGTCAGGTTTATTCTATGGAGAGGGGTGGTAGAGTTCACATCCAGTACTGGCTTATTAAGGAGGAAACACTAGCAATTGTTCAGACAGTAATGTTTGCTAGTTCCCCTTAGATCTGTCAGCTTAATATATCTGCACAGTGGTGTTGTGGTTAGCAATTCTGCCTTGTAGCACTGGGGATCCGTGGTTCGAATCCTGGCCAGGTCCCTGTGCCTGTGTGTGTTTCCTCCAGGTACTCCGGTTTCCTCCCACACTCCAAAGACATGCTGAAAGGTTCATTGTCTCCTGTTTAAATTGGCCCTTTTATGTATACATGTGAGATAGGGACCTTAGATTGTAAACTCCTTGAGGGAGTGGAGTGTTGCGTAATATTGTTGGCTATATAAATACCAATAATTAACAAATATTCTGACGCCCACCATAGTCATGAAATTGTCTATAAGATGAAATTTGGTTAAAGGTGGCCATATTGGGCAACTGTGAGGCATCTTAATGTCTGTGTGTACACTGGGTAAGACTTTTGAAAACCTTTATATGGTGCTCTTTGTTTAACCTTTTTATTTTTTGTGTTCATACAGTCAGACCACTTTGATGTGGATGCTCTCTTCAGCAACATTGAGTCTGTCTGTCAAATATCAGCCAAGCTGGTATCCTTGCTGGAAGAAGCCCTGACTGATGTGGACAAGGAACTCCAAGTGATCGGTTAGTAAGGTTACCCATACACAATAGGGTGATTGAAGATGCAGACGTGATCTAACTGCTCTTGGGCTACCTCACCTTGATTCCCGGGATCCGCTGCCCCATCTTGGATCCCGGGACCGGCTCCGAGGGCGTCAGGAGGAGGAGGACGGGAGATCAGCTCCTTGCTGATCTCCGTCCGGGCTGTGAATGCAGAAGTGATGTGTATTACATCACTTCCGCATTCACCTGTCAGTCATCTGGCAGAACCACAATAGGCAGAAGCAAGAAAATGTATCTGTTTATTAGAGCTTCATAAACCTAGTGTTCAATTGTAAAAACATATCTAAACTGTATAAAAAATTCGGCTTGCAAAATGTTACCTAAATGCAAGAAAAGTGCTAGAAAGGATAAAAGTGCAAAAAACTACTCTGCTGCAAAATTATATTTGTACATCATACGTAGATGTAATTAACCAGCAGAACACTTTGGAGACTATTCCTGTGTACATTCTTTGCTAAGGGCCGGATTGAGGGATTTTGGAAGCTGTGTGTGGCCCAAAAACCGCCAGCTTTACAGGCCGGTGGTAACTATTTTTCCCAAATTTGTTTATTGACATCACTTTTTTTCACAAATACTTCTACATAGGAATCTACCTTTAGGTTGTGTTCCATCACTTTTTTCCACCTTTGATATTTTAAGACTGGGCAGTGAGATACTAGAGAAGGCAAAAAAAATATGAATTACCTATCTTGTTTCCGTATGCCTCTATGGACCGTTAAGGTATACATTGTGCCCAGTAGAAATGATTAATTAGGTTGTTTTCAGTAGTCTGTCTGCATCTCTCTGCAGTCCCGAGTGTAAAACGTCCATATAGGAAGAGTGCTGTACCCTTATGAATGAAATCTACCCATAGCTCACTGTAGACAGACAACACGGCTAGCAGCAGCATTTCCCAATTTCCTATTTGACATTTTAGATACTTCACAAATCTGGGCAGGCACTGCAGACTAAGATAGGTTATTTATTTAATTTGCAAATGTTATTGTAACACTAAGGGGCCTATTTATAATGTTTTTTACACAAGATTTGCGTATGATTTTGTTTTGTGAAAGAAATTATAAATGGGCTCCTAACTGTCTACAATATGACATTTCCCACAAATGTGGACAAGGGTAACGCTATGCTTTACAAAAATGCACTGAAATCTAGAAAATTAAGTTTGTAGGTGGCCGCCACTTAAAATTGGTGGAAAAAAGATTTAACCACAAGAGGCATAGGGGATTCTTTTCAGTTAGAGCGGTTAAAGTCTGAAACTCGCTGCCACAAGCAGTGGTATCAGCTGAGAATATTGAATCATTCAAAAAGCATTTAGATACCTTCCTCAGAGACCGTAACATACAGGGGTACAGGGACTCTTAAAAACAAGATCACACAGGGACTCGTGTTCACACATACACATGCACAATCACACACAGACACACAAAGGTTGAACTTGATGGACCTGTGTGTTTATTCAACCTCAAATACTAGGCAACTATATGTAACTATGTAACTTAAAATACCAGGTCGATAACCTGAAAAATGTATGTGCGCAATCTATGAAAAATAAAAAAAATAACATTGATCTTCTCATTATTTTATGTGAGGAGAACATCAAAGTATAAAATATTATTTTGTATTATTTAGTCAAATGAAAATTAAAAAAATAGGTATTGTTTGGAAAGACTGTTCTCTGTCCACCGGGCTAGTGTTGACTACTCAAGTATGCATTCTCAACTCTTTGAAGCCTGGTACAGATGTCTCAATGGACTCAGTGATCTAGTGGATGTGGAAAGTGCACCATAAATTCTGAGCCACATAATATAGGATTACTCATGTTAAGCCAGTGCTTTCCTGTTTATGTGAGCTGAAAGGAAAGGGAAGAAAGGAAGTGGATGAGTGGATGCAATGCAGGAAATATTATTTTATCTAACTATCAATGCCTCCCCTAAAAAAAGAGTCAGCCGTCATGTGGGATAGTAATTATGCAAACAGTGCTCTAACAAATACATTTGCCATAATGCATAAAGTCCCTGATACTAGAGAATTTTATATTTTTTTAGTAAATGCAAAGGCTACATTTTCCAAAATATTGGAACAACTATCCACAAACTTCAACAATTTAACTGTATATGTTCAAAGCAGATAATAAAAATAAGTGTAGATCTCAATCTCAATGTGTTAATTTGGATGGGAATGTTTGGGGCAAATCATTCTTCTTCTCTACTAAATGAGCAGAGGTGAGGAGATATAATGTACCATTCTTAGTGTAAAGGTGCCCATACACCTTACGACCATCGCAAGACTTTTGTCTTGCGATGGTCGTATGCTTCTTGAAAGCCCGTACGATCTGCCCACCTTGGACGGGCAGATCGTACTTGCGATCATCGAAAGCCCGCCCCGCTGAGGGGCGGGCTTCCGATGACGGCAATGCAGAACGGGCAGTGTGCGCGTGCGCACACCGGCCCGTTCCGCAGCTATCGGGCGAGCAGGCTAGAAACCCGCCGAGAATCGTACAGTAGAAACGGTCGCACGTCTTAGTTCACACTGCTCGATTCTCGTACGATCGCGGGATTTCGCCCGATTCTCGTACGAGAATTGAGCAGTGTATGGGCACCTTTACACCATGCTGTTGTACCACAAAGCTAAACACTTGTTTGACTAGGCTATGATGGAAACCACCATTCTGTGACACGTTCTAGTTCCAGATAGTGACTGACTGAATGAATAGGTTTAATTTCAATACCCCAGATCTAGTAGTATCAGCTACATGTGTCAGGAAAGGAAAGCTTTCATCATTGCAGTTTTGCTTTCAGGCTTAAATCTGTTTAGTTTGAATATATCACAGGCTAAAAAGGCGATTTATTTTTGTGTTTTTAGTATATAGCATTTTTTACATACTGTATATTACACCTTTTTTATATACAGTACTGTGCAAAGGTTTTAGGCAGGTTTGAAAAAATGATGCAAAGTAAGAATGCTTTTAGAAATAATAGTCTTAATAGTTTTTTTTTTATCAATTTACAAAATGTAAAGTAAATGAACAGAAGAGAAATCCAAATCCAATCAATATTTGGTGTGACCACCCTTTGCCTTCAAAACAGTATCAATTCTTCTAGGTACTTGCACACAGTTTTTGAAGGAACTCGGCAGGTTGGTTGTTCCAAACATCTTGGAGAACTAACCATTTATCTTCTGTGGATGTAGGCAGCCTCAAATCCTTCCATCTCTTCATGTATTCCCAGACAGACTACATGATGTTGAGATCAGAGCTTTGTGGGGGCCAAACCATCACTTCCAGCACTCCTTGTTCTTCAGAACGCTGAAGATAGTTCTTAATGACATTGGCTGTATGTTTGGGGCCATTGTCCTGCTGCAGAATACATTTGAGGCCAATCACACGCCTCCATGGTGGTATGGCATGATGGATAAGTACCTGCTTGTATTTCTCAGCATTGGGGACACCATTGATCTTGACCAAATCTCCAACTACATTTGCAGAAATGCAGCCCGAGACTTGCAAGGAACCTCCACCATGCTTCACTGTCGCCTGCAGACGCTCATTGTTGTACTGCTCCCCAAGCCCTTCGGTGAACAAACTGCCTCCTGCTACAGCCACATATTTCAAATTTTGACTCATCAGTCCAGAGCACCTGCTGCCAAAAGAGTATGCATACAAACAATAAAGTTAATTGTAAAAAAAAAAATCAGCAAAAGTAACAAGCTAAGAAAAGGGTAGGAAGGAGTTAATTATGGCAATTAAGGGTAGGGCAATCCCTATAATGTGGCAGCCTGAGGCTGTTGCCTCAGACGGCATCTCTTTGGGTAACAGCATGGCTGCACAATGTGCCTGCATCAAGCCATTTCTGGCCAGAGCATCCCAGGTTGCTAAGAGTTGGGTGGGAAGATGTGCAAGGGACATGACTGGTTCCCAACTGATGCAAAGGCCACCCTTCCTGCATCCAGCCCCCCTGCAGCACCAGCGCCGCCTCAGGCGGTTAAAAGGCTAGGGATGCCCCTGATTAAGGGTATAAAAAAAGTTTTAAACAGCTAACTAAGCCTCCATTCCCATCTTTTGTGATGTGGGAGTGAGTTTGATGCCACACACTATCCCAGATCGCATGTTGCAATGTTAAGTGCACTGCAGAGACATTATTTCTTAATGGCTCACCAACGCACATAGTCATCACCATAACCTATTACTATGCAATGTGGTGTGATGCAATTTAATAAAAAAGGTTCTTGCACGTTTTTGATTGAGAATTTAGCTGCGTAATGCCATTCAAAGTAATGGGCTGCCTTACCGCAACACACCATAACGAACCCTATAGCACCTCTGCAATGTCGCTTGACCGGTGTGGACATAATGTAACAAAAACATTACATTGTTGCTATCAATAATAGGTGTAACAAGTTGCTCATCCATCACTTAAGCAGGTCATGCTGTCAGCATCTTTTTTTATACAGATCGGAACCTCAGGTGTTAAAATAACAGTGGTTCCCACTAGTGGGAGCATGTCTAGCTGGGAAGAACATTGTAGGAAGTATTATGTACACACTGTTGCTTTAACTAAAATTGCAGCACCTCAACTTGTTAATATAACACTAGACACAGATGTATTAAAATTGCCACGCAAATATGAGAAAGTAACTAAATTGTTTCTAAATATGAATTGTACGTTTCCTTTTTTTGGTGATAGATCTGATTACACTGACAGCAGATCCTAATCTATTATGTCTGTGTCTATTTTCATTTATCTGTTTACAGGTGAATTGTTTCTTGAGATTAAATGCCCATTAGAAGATGTCTATAAAATCTACTGTTACCATCATGATGAAGCACACACATTGCTCGAATCCTATGAGAAAGATCAAGAGCTGAAGAATCATATGAGGCAGTGTACACAGTCACTGAAGTAAGATATTTTATTTTTTCACTCTAAGGGGCTGATTTATAAATCAGCAGTATGGTCAAACAATGGCCATACCAATTACTTGAAAAAAAAACAAACCCTCTGCAACATTTATAAAGCACTGCGTTGTTGCCTGCTTCATGACTCTGAAGCACGGAAGCCCCATTCCTTTTTTAAATTAACATCTCCTGAGAAAAACATTGTTGAATTCTCATTCTGCAAACCCTAAAGGGTACCAGCTTGATTATACTACCGGTATGCACTGTTCCTTTATTTCCCAAGTGTCTGATTCAAACTACTGTAATATGCAGCTGGTGACCAGACCTTGCATGATCCCACTGTGGTGCTTTCCTTTCTGTCTTTCTAGCTTTCCTATTAGCCACTAGGTTTGATTCCTGAGCAAACGGGGAGGGTAGAAAGACAGGTGGGGTGATTTTGGGGGTACTTTCAAAATAAGTAGCAGTGCATGTGGACATCTGGAGTTCCTTGCAGTATAATCCCCACTGTAAGGGTCCATTCACACCAATTCCAGTGCTGTTAGCTGCGGCAATGCACTGGATCACATAATGTGAGCCTCTCTTTGTTCTGGGGTGGGAGTGGGTGTGGCGCTGCATTCAAGTCAATGGCAGTGCAGCCACGACCCCCACCCGCAGTGCGATCACCCGCATCAGAACATGTGGCACAGCAATGCCTGCGTTCCGGTCCGGTGCGATCGCAAAAAATAGTGCAAGCTAACCGTGCTAGAACGCATTGGAATTGGTATGAATGGGCCCTCAAGGTCTAAAGAGCCCATGGACATACTATTAATCTCTGACTCTACAGCAGTAAACTGTCTTGTATCAATCAGAAGTTCTTTACACTGCTTTGTGTCTGGAAAGTTCTTACAATTATATACACCATGCATTTAATATGACCTTGTTACAATGTCATTATTTAATCTAGACACTAGCAAACTTTCTGTAAACATATCACTTCCCTAATCATCTTCCAGGACAGTACTTGAGAATGAGTGGTTCCAACCACCTAAATCAGGAAGCAGGTCAAATTAAAAAAAAAGTGTCAGCTACATGGCTGCCTCAGTTCTTTGTTTCTTCGGTGAAGCAGGAATAACTTTGCAAGTAGCTATTTTATGTGGCCTTTTTACTAGTTGTGGGGCCCCCACACAGAATAGGCAGAGTCTAGGACGGTAGGTTTGCTAGATGGCAAACTATCTATCTCCTATACAGATTGTTAGTCAATTCCCTTCCAAGAGACAGCAAAGGCATAGACATATATTTCACAACACTGGGTCTATCCACTAAGCTGCCGTAGGCAGCCGAGTGAATGACCGACCTGAAGCGAAGTCAGCCAAACACTGTTCGGCTATTCACTTCAGGCTGGTACGGCTGATTTCAGCCGTATATCGGATGAAAGCAGCCGTACATCGGGTGGCTTCGGGTCTCTCTCCTTGGCGGCCGGGAGCGGGAGACTCCCGGAGTGCCCGGGAGAGTTAGGCTGTCTGGAGATCAGTGTCCCTGGTTAGCTGGTAACCAGGGACGCTGATCTCTTTGCAAGTGGCCGGAGCCAGCCGTAACATCACGGCTAGCTCTGCCCAGCTGTCAGAAGCAGGCTGTCAATGCCAATGGCCGGCCGCTCGGTCAGCTTCGGCTTTCACCTCGGCTAAGTCGAGCCGAAGCATATGCCTTCGGCTCGATTGACCCGCCCGGCCGACTTCGGGAGCTGTACGGGCTATAGTGAATAGCCCGTACAGCAGCCCTTCTGTTCTACTGAACCGAAGGGGTCCTGGGGCCTAAGCTAGCCGAAGGATCAGCCGAAGCTACGGCTAGATCCTTCGGCTGCTTCGTGAATAGACCCCTTAGTTCCCCAGGAGAAGTCCAAGCTTACTCAGTATGAGTTCTGACAGCCACTCGGGCTGAAAAGGCAGGGGCAATGCTGAAGCAGATCTGAAGGGCAGCCACTTAAATCAAGCATTAGAGAGCTGACCTGATCTCCAGTCAGGAGATTTGGCAGAAAAGTACTGCAAGTAGTGGTCACCCGTAAAAGTTTTGATTCCTCACTGTCACAAGTGCTGTCCTGGAAGGTGCTTAGGGGAAACTAAGTTGCCTGGCACCTTCATTTCCAAGAATATTTCTGGGCAGCAGGGTATTCCCTCCCTATTTATGGTTTTTGGATATATATTACATTATTGCAGATAGTTTAGGTGGGTATGCATGTAGCTGATGATTTTTTATTTGATGTATACCTTGTGCTTCCTGTTTTGGGTGGGCTGAGCCACTCTCTCTCTCTCTCAAATGTCGTTCTGGAAATGAAGTTACCAGGTAATTAACATAATATTCATTTATTATGGGGACATTTGAAGGTCCATGAACTTCTTTCTTGATGGCAGATTTAGAGAAAAGCTTCATGAGTGCAAAATGTTCTGAGATTTATAAGGGTGTTACCCCAACCTGCAATTATGTTATCCATATTTTTAAAGGGTCTTTTCACACAAACCTGATATTTCAGCTACAGAGTACAGACAGAATATGGTAGGCTGAGTCACTGATGGTTTCTTATATTTCTTGGGGACTGCAGGGGCAAGTTCTTCCTGCCCACCTCGGGGAATCCCCACTCCACCTGTTGGATTGGGCATTTCTTAAAATAAATAAAAAAAACCCAGAAGAGAGTTTGAGACTCCTTTTAATGACCGCAAAAAATGTGCCGATCCCTGAACTCAAGAGCAGATATCGCAGCAACAGTCACACATTATAACATCAAGCATAACATGAAAAATTGTATAAAAGGCACAACAAATGACCACAATATATGTATATATTTTCCTGCATCATCATTCAAATGTATATTGTATTTTTGGTTAACATTATAATTCATCTTTAATCATTCTGCTCATGACTGAACTGGGAGTTAGGCCCCGTTCACAGCAGGGCGTTTCCTGGCGCATTTTTTTCCATGCTGAAACACATGCAGATCGAAATTCCATGTATTCATATGGGGGCCGTTCACGCAAATGCGCTGAATCGCACGTAAAAAATAAACCGGTTGTTTAAAATAGTCCTTGAGCTTCTTTTGTGGCATTTATCAGCTCATTTTGCCCTATAGACTTCAATGGAAACGCGCTGATCAGCACGTTTTTGCGCTTTTTCGCAAACGCCTTAAAACGCTCTTACGCAGAAATGTGCTAAAAAACATGTGAAAAACGCGCTGAAACGCTGTCGCCCTGGTGTAAATGGGGTCTTAGAGCCATACATATTTTCAGTGTTGAGCTACAGGGCAACATAATTGATATTTAAAGATGAAGTCGAAACAAACAGCTAAATTCACCTTTGGAGTACGTATAGGGGAGCTGCTTTACTTAACCTCTTGCCGTCCGCCCGTAGTAAAAAAACGGACGGACGGCACTGCAGCATCTGCGGGTTGCCGTCTCCAGACGGCAATTTTTTTCTGCTCGCGCGCGATTTGTATTTTGGTCCACACAGTCCTATGGTTTTTACAGCCCCGCAAGACATCACAGCTCAGTTGGTGACCTGAGTTTTCTCTGCTGTACATGCAATACAGTATGGTCACCTACCTATCCCACAGCCTATGAATGGACAGTGAAGGAGCAACAGAATACTGACATGCTTATCTTTTTCTTCTCTCCTTCTGTCCTTGTTCTCTCCTTCAGCATGTTTGTTGTCAGCACCCATGCATGCAGGAACCCTGACTGGCTCCCACTGCTGCCCTTCCCTCTCTGTATAGGTGCTGCTGTACATGGGATTACAAGAGGCTAAAATCAACTCATATTAAATATTAGCCTTAGTTTCATTTAAAACACAGTTTATTATTATTATTATTTTTAATCGTAACTGCATTTTTTGTTTTTTTGTTAAATATCTGCTTCCATATCATTGTGGATTATATGGAGTATGTAGTTGCTAAACATTCCAAATGATATAGGCAGAAACCAATTATTATTCACTATAGTCATAATCAGTTATTAACTAATGAGCAGATACTTTAATATGAAGCCTTAAATACCATTTAATTTAAAATGTGAAATAATTGACTTATTTCTGTGCTTGAGGAGTGTTAAATTATGACCGCTGCTTCAAAGCCTGTAGAATATTTCTATTTCAGCAAGGACAATACACAGCCACCTTGATCTGTTTTGATGTACATCCACACTGTATTTGTCTGTGGAGCACATTGATCAGCAGCCTGCGCAGGTCCTTCCCACAGCAAACAAGCTGCTAATTTCCACCACATCACAGGGACGGCTCAGGCTTCTCCCGTCCATTTAAACTGCCTTTTCTCTTTTGAGAGTAGAAAAAGTGCCTCAGTCTGACACCACAGCCCGGATGGCATTGAAATCAAAGAATATGAAAAAGCTAATTATATTGAATTGCAGGCTTTGAGTAAAATGTTAAATGGGAGCTAAAATGATTATTCATGATAGAATGTGGGCTTTTATGTGACAATGAATGAGATGGAGAAAAGGGAGTTTACCAGGATGAGCTACAGAAATATGCTTCCTATTGAGACATCCCCAAACAATATTACATCTTTATTGTTTAAAAAGAACTATGTGAAATGCTAGATTTTTTTACCATGTAAATACACAGAGACCTTTTTTCAGACAGGTCTCCATTCACCTTGCTGCTTTTGATGTGCAGGTGTATGGCATACAGTATTGCAATTTAGGTGAAAGAATGTATAGGTGTGGAATGTATATGCATTTATCATCACCAATAGGAGTTTCCATCATTAGTTAATTTGCACCAATAGACCCTAATATTGGAGGGGGGAAAATTGGAGGGAAAAAAAAAATACCACAAAGAGACCCATAGGTGGAATTCAATTTTGGAACATATTGTATGCAGGCAGTACAGCTGGGTCTAGTCTTCCTGGTTTATCTAGCAGCAGATTCTGATATGACTGTGTAAAATAATGGTGATCACGGAGTTCACAATCTGGCTGTTGGCTGGGGAGGTGGAAGCTTATTCAGACTGTGGATGGCCAAGTGGGTTTACAGCAGGATGGCAGCACACAAGGAATCTCCTCCAAATGTATCTTTATTTCATAATATAAGGCTATAAAAGTACTTTGTAGAATTTTGTAGAATTTCTGGAGATTCAGCAATAAAGGCAAAATCCAGACAGTTTGATGAACAAGTGTACCGGCAGATGTAGAAATAATTCACAACCCATGAAAGCGGATGTTTCTCTTCTGAGTAAGCACCATTTTATTTCAAGACACTTTATTTGTTTATGCATTCATGATTTCACATCATCCTGTTTAAACAACTAACTTGAGAAAGAATACATTCACTCGTATCGTAAAAGAGGGGGGTCTTTTGGTTTTCTACAAAAAAATTATTTTTTTTTGGCAGGCCAACGGTTATTTTAAGAATGCTTCAGTGGCACTACAGATAATATAAAACTGAATTCCAGAAAAAAGAAAAAATTCACCAATTTTAGGTATTACAAAAAAACACATTTATTTTTAAATGCACATAGAATAAGTGCTTGATTTTAATTTGGTATCCACCTTCTGTCATTCCTTGCACAGAAGCCCTCAGACTGGCAAGAGGAAGCATGCAATATGCTGAGAGGAAGATAGAGGAGAGATTTATTCTGCTGTCCCTTCACTGTCCAATTACAGTATCCTGTCAGGGCTGTGTAAATCTTAGGACTGACTGGACAGAGATACAAAACCTTTGTCTGTTGTGTTAAACAGTTTTTTTTTTGGAGTTCAGCTCTAATGTTCTTTTGGGGAAAAAAGCCAAAAGTAAAAGCTATTAAACCTTTAAGTCAACTCCATATAATAACACCAATTTTAAGTCCTCTTAGTGGGTCCAGGGCAAGAGTAAAAATTCTCTTCATTAGCCCAAGGCATATGACTTTTTCCAGTTTGGGAAAGTTTTTCCTATAAATAGCAAGATCCAGTGCCTAGTCAGACATTTAGGGGGTTATTTACTAATAAGCAGAAGGATTAAGCCAAAGCTTCGCTAATCCTTTAGCTCGCTTCAGCTGCGGTAGCCTTTTGGTTCAGCTGAAGCGAAGGACTGCTGTAGGGCTACTCACAATATGCTGCATGCACAGCCGAAGCGGGCAGAATGGGGTGCCAAAGCAGACTGTTCGCCCAGCAAAAAAGTAAACAAACAGTGAAAAAAAAATGCGTTGGGTCCCCTTTCCCGATTCATACCAGACCCTTTAGGTCTGATAGGAGTGTTAGTAGGGACCCCCCGAGTTAAAAATAAGAAAAAAGTGTATGGGGTTCCCCTCAAAATAAATTTTAAGGGGGAACCCCACCACCAAAAAATATGGAACAAAATGTGGGGTCCCCTCTAAAATTCGCAACCAGACCCTTAATCCGGGCACTGGTCTGGCAGGGCAGGAAAGGAGGGACGAGCGCCTCCCCCTCCCTGCACCATACCAGGCCACCTTGGGAGGTTGCTTTTCCAGGAATCCCCCCCCCCAGGAACAAGGGCAAGGGCCTCATCCCCACAACCCTGCCCCTGTGGTTGTGGGGATCTACCAGCAGGGGGCTTATTTGCATTGGGATACCCCTTTCATAAAAGGGGCACTCAGATGCTGCCCCCCCTTGTGAATGAGCAAGGGGTACTTTTACCCCTACTCATTCACTAAAGGGTTAACAAAAATGTAACTAAAGAGACCAGACTGTTAGAGAAAATTCTTTAATTAAAAAACAAAGCAAACGTTTTTGGCAATTCCTTTTAAAAAAAACAAAAATCCCCAAAATTATCCAATGAAGTAATCCAGGGTCAATTACGTCATCCAGCGATGTCCACACCACCGCCGACTCGTGGACATAAAAAAATTCCCGACGTACACCCACCCAACCGCACACGTCGAACTCCCACCACAAAATGAACAATTTGACAGGTGCCGGCCGCATGTATACAGTTAGGCAGAGCTAGTGGTGACATCACCGCTGGTTCCGCCTATCTGTTGACATTTGGCCTGCAGCTGTCAAATCGCTATCGCAAAGTTCTGGCCGAATAACAACAAATGGCCAGAGTCAGCCATGACGTTGTGGCTGGCTCCGCCCATCTGTTGTCATGCAATGACAGGCCACTGTCCTCAGGCCATTTGGGGTCAGCACCTGTCAAATTGTTCATTTTGCGGCGAGAGTTCACCGTTTGCGGCCGGGTCGGCATGCGTTGGGAATTTTTATATTTTGACAAGTCGATGTTGTGGACATTGCTGGACAATGTGATTGACCCTGGATTACTTTGGTGGATCATTTAGTACATTTTTTAAATTGAAGGAATTTTCAAAGACTTTTGTGTTGTTTATTTTTAAATTAAAGGATTTTTTCTAAAACTCTGGTCTCTTTATTTACATTTTTGTTAACCCTTTAGTGAATGAGTAGGTGTACAAGTATCCCTATCTCATTCACAAGGGCCCCTACAACCACAGGGTCAGGGTAGTGGGCAACAGGGGGGGGACCCCTGGAAAAGCACCTTCCAATGCCGAGGGTATGTGGCCTGGTATGACGCAGGAAGGAGAGGGGCGCTCGCTTGTCCCCCCCTTTCCTGCCCTGCCAGACCAATGCCCGGATTAAGGGTCTGGTTGGAAGTTTTTTAGAGGGGACTCCACTTTTTTCCCATTTTTTGGCGATGGGGTTCCCCCCTAAAATCCCTACCAGATCTAAAGAGCCGGGTATGTCTTTTGGGGGAAACCTCACGCACTTTTTAAAAACATTTTTTAACTGGGGGTCCTTCCTAACATTCCTACCAGACCCAAAGGATCTGGTATGGTTTGGGAGGGGGATCCCACAATGTTTTTTTTTTCTTTGGTGTACATTTTTAAAAAAATTCTGCTTGCTACCTCTGAAGTAGCGAGCAGAATAACCGAGCCAAATGCTGCACGGCGGCATTCAGCTATTCACTCACTGCTCTTCGGGCCCTATCAGAATAGGGGCGAACAGCAGTAAATAAACTGTCGAAAACTCGCCTCAGCCGATCCAGATGTTGGATCAGCTGAGGCAAACATGTTCTTCACTTCGGCTCAGCCGAACTGAGCCGCGTGAAGTGAAGAGAGCCGAAGGCAGCCAATGTATGGCTGTTTTCACCCGTACAGGTCTGAAGTGAATAGCCGAACGGCATTTGGCTCCCTTCACTTCAGGCCAGTTATTCACTCGGCTGCCTTCGGCAGCTTAGTGAACAACCTTCTTAGAAGTCAGTTTTTTGAGTAAAAGAGTTTTGCTTGGAGCTCCATTTTAACGTTGTGTGTCTATGTTTGAATTTGGGGTCCATTTTATGTACCTGTATTATATCCTTCTGGATACATTATTTGTCTAATTATTTCTTGAATTTTTCTAAAAAAATAAAAACAATGTTTAAAAAAAATGTCAATGCCATCTTCTGTCCACTTACAATATCATCTTTTTTTTTTTACTTCATAGGAAAATATATGAAGAACAGTAAGTATTTTTTCTTTATATGTTTGTTATCCTGGGGTATACTATAGCAGGTATCTCTGGCAGCAATGTTGGGAAGCACTCATTACCAGGACAGCTTACCAGAGCAGATAGTCTTTGGTAGATGCTGAAGGAACCCACTAGTTTCTATGTATTCTTGTAGAGCTGGGAGGTGAGGTCTCAGTGCTGTAGCCCCACAATGAAGTCTCACTACACTCACTTCTGCAGTAGAGGAAGTCTGTACTAGCCACACACTTTTAGATTTCTCTCGTTTAGCCCCCCAGCATGAGAGAAAATCGAACAGAGTGGATGGAGGAATCTTCCCTACTGGGTATTGTATTGAAACAGTTGCAGTACCCATGACTACCTAAATACCCAAATATTAATATCATCTGATAGGATGCAATCACTGTTCAGCCAAGAATTTTCCACCCAGCTACTTCAATTTTGAAATTGACTTTTGTTGAGCTGCTTGGTATTGACAGTAATTTGAACCGTGGATTGCCAGCTTTACAGGTAATACAATAAAGCTTTGAACAAAAGAAAAATCTATGAATTAGAATGAGACCACCTCATAATTTGGCATCTTTTCAGCTTTGGAAATGGAAGTCTAGTGTGATTCAACTTTCCAGCATCTACTAAAAACTAAAATGATCACTTACAGAGGCGGATCTTTTAAAGTGTATGGCCAGCAAAAAAAATGTTTTATTTTAGTTTTGTATTGAGTGGGAAGGGCTCAGCTAGCCATTCAAGTTACAGACAATTTGCTAAATGCAACAGAACGCTCGGATTTGAACAGGGGCCCTAGAAAACAATGGGATTCCTTTTGCTGAGGGTTTTGTAGCTTAGAACTACAAAATGCCAACGTGTGAAATAAATGGAAATCTCTCAACACAGTGTACATTCTAGAGTTTACGTGGATGCAGACCCCATCATATTAGTGCTGGCTGATACTAATATTCCCATTCAAATAAATAAGGGACATCATGGTTTACATTGATGGATATAAGTGATAAAACCAAAATGAAAACATCCAGTGCTAAATTTATTTCTAAAGTCTAAATATTTGCTCAGGGCTTGCACTTGAAGTGACTAGAGCTGAAATGGGAATTTAACTTGACGTGATTTCTTTGCTATTTTCCTATGACTGGTAGGGTAGGTTACTGCTTTGGGTTGGTTTACATTCATTTATTTATCTCCAGGTAAGTTAAAGGTGTTTTGCTGTTCATGTTTGCCATGTTTGAAAGCAATATTATTGTTTGCTTACCCTTTGTAAGTTCATCCAGCGCACACAGCTTACATTTACTGAACAGACAGCATCTGGAGACACCAAGTGGCAGTAACCGATATGATAACCTGGAAAATTATGCAGACAAATGCTTCCAAATTATTCAGAGAAAGACACACCTGTAAACCTGCCATGGAACAAAACTTGCATTTGCCATTGCTGACCCCTCCTTGTAAAAATGCCAGAAGCCTGGCTGTCATTCTGATCCTCACGTCTTAGTACTTTAATTTTAATACAGAGAAGGAGTTCTCTGACCTTCACGGTCTGCATACTTGTTTCAGTTCAGTATCTTAGAAAGTACTGAATACAGTGGGTCAGGATAAAAACTAAAAACCTTGCATTTTCAGAAGGTACCACTGTTACAGGAAGTGAATGAAAAGCTTTCTAAGGTAGCATTCTAAGGCTGTTTTCACATAGCTGCCTTCAGTTCTGATCAGCAGGGAATCTGCGCACATATCCCCTGCTGATTGGAGCAGTTTGGAACACATGTCACAATGGTCCAGTTTTTTCTTCCATGGAAAATGGAGGAAAAAACTGAAATGACCTGACACATGTTGGTCTATGGAGAGTTGGATGTAAGCAGACATGTACCCATTTACATTAGATTACCCTCAATCCACCTTGAATAGGTCCACGAAACCGGAACTCCGTTCCGTTTAGTTGTCCAGACCTGGCCAGAGTCGGGGGTAATCAAATGTAAAAGGATGCATGTCCTTTTAGATCCAGCTGCCCATAGACTTACATTGTGCTTCCAATCACAACTGCATGATAAACTGAAAGACGGACCTGATCGGAATGCCCATGTGAAAGGGTTCTACTCCATTCTATCCAAAACTTAGAAGAAAATCTTTGCCTTTACGATGGATGTAAATTAAAAACTCTGTGTACTTGCAAGTTTGTGTACAGTAAGTGTGCACAAATCACATGGAGACTGCATGAACATTTCTGTCTAATCCGGTTTACATTTATTTAATTATGCTAAAATATTTACATATGTTGTAAATATTTGCACATCTGCTAATTACTTCTGTAAGTGCTTTGTTTGACTAAGGCAATGTGAGACAACATTGATGGATGAACAAATAGACAGACACATGGATAGATATAAGTCAATGCAAAAGTTTGGGCTTCCTGAGGATAAAAAATACTCTCCCCGCTGCTTAGAGACAGCATGGGACACTGCAGCTTTCACACGGCAGCTCTATACCAAAAGCTGACCGATCATGTAACCGCTGATTGTTCAGCTCATGGTCTTCTCCCAAAAGAGAGCAGTGACTGTCAGTCGCTGATCCCCACAGAGATTCCCCCCGCCCCCTGTTTCTCTAGCACTCATTGGAGGGACAGCCAGGGGAGGGGTCGGGCACAGCTGGCTCTGGCTCAGGAGAGGCAAAGCCAGATGTCAATCAGGCAGTCGGGGTCTGGATCTTTCTCAGCCACTGGCCCACTATCTGCTGACTTTGGATCACAAGAGTACATTAGTAAATATACTCCTCTGACCTAAAAGAAGTAAAGACAACAGTTTGGCTTTACTTTTCTTTTAATTCTTAGATATATATGCAGTTCTGCCATGAGAAACTATTGAAAAGTCTATTTTGTAGGCTTTTTTCTTCTTTAACATGAACAGATGTATGGCGATGCAAAGGTACTAAAAAAAATTAAAAAAAACAAACATATTTATCTGTTGGTTGTCTAACATTTTAAGCCAAGCCCTGTGCAGTATGTGTAATACATATCTTCATTGTGACCAATTAGGGGTAAACCGAATCTACTGGACATGGGTTCCCTGATGATTAAACCTATCCAGCGAGTGATGAAATATCCCTTGTTGCTATGTGAGCTGCTGAACTCCACTCCCCAGTGTCATCCAGACTTCAAGACACTAAAGGATGCATTTACAGCTATTAAAGATGTTAATAGCAACATAAACGAGCTGAAGAGGAGGAAAGACTTAGGTACAGTAACAACCCACACTGGCATAAATAATGTGTTCTTATACAGTCTCATTAGACAAAATACATTTAACTGAATTGTTGTAATACAGCTATAGCCTGTATATCTTATTCATGTATTCTCTATATTTAAAACAAAGGGCAGACAGTGGAATAGGGAACTTGTAGGACTATTACCTTTGCATCTATATGTTTATGAAGTATCTAGTATGCTTTTTTTAATGGTTGGCATTGATAAACTATAAACTGGGGAAATATCATGTATGCAAATTATTCCAGGTCAGTTGTAGAAGAAAGTAAGTAGACATCTATAGATAGACCTTCATTGCAACCTGCAACATTTGAGCATTTCCGGTCGGGCACAGGTATATGTTAACCATCTGTGTTGATGAACTAGTGTCAGAGAAAATGACATGTTGCAAAGGAGGGATGTAGGGACAAAGCACAGAACCTGATTTTTTTTAGGTGCAGAGGCCTAATGTTAATTCTTAATAAAGAGCACCTATTTGCAGAATTGTGTTTTACCAGTTCAGTAGTAACCAATGGCATCACTGTCAAAGAGAGATTACACTCAAAGAAATGACACATACTGTAAAAAGTTTCAAAATAAAACCTGAAAATTCAGCACTGAGTGGATTTTAGTGTGTCAAAGTGTATGCAAGCTTTTTAGATACCGCCAGTCTTTTGTTAATAATTTGGTTCTTGTTATGAAATTGCTGTTGGAAAACTTTTCACTTTCCCCTGAACTGGAGGTGGATTAGAGTACCCCCATATCCAGAAATCTTGTATTGGAAGGCACACCAGGAAGTTTCCTCATGCATCCAATAATAGTAAACTAAAAATATCTAAACACAGTATTCCCTCTATATGTGGCTGCTTTGTCCTGTAAGAAAAGGCTATAACAAATATATATTTAAAAAATGCATAAGGAGCCTGCATACAAAACCTTTTACAAAATGCTTTATTGAAATACCAAAATCACTTAAACCAAAGCTGTCCCACATGCCCATGTGAATAGGTATGACGCATGCCATCGCCCACATGCACATGCCCATATTTTTCTTTCTTGCTATCATAATAGGAGGTATCTCACAGTTATCATGAGTAAGCTTTGTTTGGGTTCCAAATAGACAATGCTGACACTCAGAGACTTCCATCAGCCAGTGCTGTACCCAGCATATGTCATGCACTATCATACCCATTGTTTAATTTTACATACCACAGCTTTATGCCTCAGAAATGCAATACACGTTTTTAGGTTAGACCCTCAGGTCCCATCCATCCCATGGCATAGGAGTTGTTACAAGCTCTGTGGCCTATATTTGACAAATGGCTCTCTATAGATGAAAAGGTCAATGAGGCTCTTTTATATAAAAACTGGAAGAATAGAAATTGTCGCATTGCCTTTCACCATCAGTCAGATTTTTTCTTTCTATTTTCTGACAGAGTGACTAGAGGAAGCTTGATTGGTTTCAGTGAGTAGCTGTCTAGTTCTGCAGTTTCAGTAAATTAACTTCATGAGACTATGGGCTTGATTCACTAAAGGAGTATAGGCTGTTTATGTTAATGTCCACTTTGCAAGGGAATTTTCTCTTAGTTCAATTAATGAGGCGAACTTCAGCTGGCTTTAAATATTCCAATCATGTGCAAGCAAAAATCCTAATTGTCCATGCATGTGATTGGGTATTCTTTATAAAGTGAAAATTTAGTGAACATTCTCTACTCCTTAAGTAAAACGCTGTTTTGTAATATTTTTCAAGAACTGTTCTTTCATAACCCTGTTAAGTCTCTAGAGCTAGGACACATATTATATTTTCACAAAAGATATTTCTTTAATTCCTGGTTCTGGCTAACTTCCAAATTTTGCAGCCTCAAACTAGTTCTTCAGTTCACGGCCTTTGATTACAAGTTGATTAACCATCATCTGTGATTCCTAGGTCATATTTTTGACAGGGATATCAATATAACATTACAGAAAGGGTTTGCCCTTTAACATCAGTCTGGTAATATTTGATGCTATTTCATATTTAATATACTTCTAGTGTTGAAGTACAGGAGGGTAGATGAAGAGGAATCACTGAAAGACAAACTTTCCAAGCTCAGTATTCACTCAATTACCAAGAAATCTAAGAGAGTGACCAGCCACTTGAAGATACTGACTGGAGGGGAACAGGTAAGCTGAGCTGTGTATTCTGTGTTTAACGTTTGACACAAACTGAACCAATTGACTGCAAAAGATGACATTTACATTTATTTATTTTACACTGTCCTGCATACTGTGCTGTCTACTTTTTTTTACTATGAATAGTAGAAGTATGCAAGACTTCCACATGCCCATGTGCTTCTTACATATTAAGATCTGAGATGAATGATGTGACCAGTACAAATGTGATCAGCTTCAATCGGAAACCAACCCAGTAGGGCAAATTTAGAGTGCCATTGTGGTAATGTTGCGTCATACTGCTTTTTTAGAGTAGTGACATTTTTAGTATAACTGGTAAAGTCCTGGGCTATAGCCAGGAGAGTTCCATGCCATTGTATCGTCGAAGGCACCAGATAAGTTCGCCCTTTTAACTGAGTGATAAGCCCAAGTCTAGCCATTTCTACTGCTATAGGCAGTTTATTCCTGTACAGTTTTCTCAAGTGCTATAATAGCAAGAGGCATTTTAGAGGATAATACATCTTACGCCATCCCTAGAGACTACCACCTGAGCCAAAAATCTCACCTGAAACAGGGCTGCACTTTTAAAACTAAGACATCTACAAACCCAAAAGTACCAGTAAAATCCAGTGGCCTTGCTTCAGAGAAATGAGTTCATGACTATACCCCATGTGTAGGATGCCAGTCACTATACTGCAATCGTGTTCAAAACATGTTGCAAATGATGGCTTAATTAACATTGTTGTGTTTTGGAATAAATTGTAGGTGAAGGACCAAATATTTAACAAGGAAGAAAAAATATTCAGAAATTTGGAGAAGACTGTTAGATTGTGTGTGAAGAACATTTCATGCACCCTACAACACATGCAGGTGAGTTCTTATGTAAGGACTATTTTTCTCTACATTAAATCTTTTACTTTCGTCTATGGTCTTTTTATACTGTTATATGAGCTTACTGAAATATACATTTCCAATTTACAGTTATCAGAGGTATTTATTTATGAATAAAATAAAAAAGAGCGTATGGAAAAAAAAGTATAGACTACAGATGCATTTATTAAATACATACACAAAGTAGACATTTTTACAAAATAATTTTGTCTATGGGTATAGCTTTACAATCATTTTCTGCATTCCATGTAGTTCTTACAGTTCAAGTACAATTATAAATGGTGCCAAAAGTTTTGCAAACAACAGGAACAAACTCAAACTAGCTCCCAAAATGCCAAGTCAAACATGCAAATGCTGAAACAACAAAGCCAATTGTGATAAAAGTAAACATTGTATTTTAGATAATACAATGGGCTTGTTAGAAATACATAGGGCCCATTCACACCATTTTCTTGGGTTTAGATATACTAAAGGGCAAAGTAACAGGTTCTATTTATAACCCACCTCCACTGTTACTAACACTTGTCTTCCCCACCCTACCTGCTCCTTTTCCCAATCAGAGCCCTTGGAAATACCAGGTACTTACTGGGATAAGGTAGCATGTTACTTTATCTCCTTGCCCTTATTCCCGCTATGCTGTGCATGGCGCCAAAGTGGCCCATTGCCAAGCCTAAGAACTGACATGTGGGGATGTAACAGTTCTGTGTAAACTTTCAAAAAGGGCAATCCTGTAATAGCACTGTATATGAGCTCTGACACAGACAGGGAGCTTACACCGGCTTTCTACTTGTAGCTACAGCTGGTAAACAAGGCATTGGAGGATCGTGGGGAAGGTGAGTATTAGTAGCAGAGGAGGCGGGTAATGCTGTGCAGAGGACACAGAGTGCAGAAATCTGACTACAGTAAAGTGGAACCTGATTGCTTGGCATATGAGAGTTAATTTCACATCCTGTTATTGTGATTTTACTTACTGAATATGCCTGATTATGAGATAAAACAATCTTCAACAATGAACTGCAAGAGTTCAAAAGTAGATGTTTGGATTTAGGTTGATACCATTTATTGGCCAAGTAGCTTGTAGTGCAAGCTTTCAAGGCACACTGCCTTCTTTTTCAGGCAGTCTTTAGGATCGCCTGAAGAAGAGACCAGCATGCCTCCAAAGCTTGTGCTGCAATCTATTTTGTTAGCAAATAAATTGTATCATCCTAATACTTTTGTTGATGGCTAGCACCATACAACTCTCTGCTACTGTCAAGTTCAACCAAAAAACAAATAATATTTTTTGACCTTTAAAGCAAACCTGAAAGCAGCCTAATAAGCACCCCTGGAATGCTATATTTCAATAATCTCAACCACAGAAGCTAGTTGAAATTTGCATACTAGAACACTATCATAGGGGTCTATTCACGAAGCAGCCGAAGTATCTAGCCGTAGCTTCGGCCCCAGGACCCCTTCGGTTCAGTAGAGCCGAAGGGCTGTTCTACGGGCTATTCACAATAGCCCATACAGCTCCTGAACTTAGCTGAGCGGCTCAGTCGAGCCGAAGGCATATGCCTCGGCTCGGCTGAGCCGCGAGACCCCTATGGAATTTGGGGCTGAGTAGATAAGCAAAAATAACAGTCCGGCACCACCTAGATCTGCCTCCAATTACATACCAGCTGTGCTTTGGTAAGAAGGGAGTAACTTTATAAATATAATTTCTTGTAGGATGCGATGCCTTTGGCTGGCCTTAACGTTGTGGAATTACAGGACATACTGCATGATGAATCCCAGGAAAAGCATCAAGACCTAAACTTGCAAAGCAGTCTGGGAGTACGGTATGAGCAGCTGGTGAGTCTAATATAAACTTGTGAGAGAAAAAGTGTTTTTACATAGGTGATAGATGCAGTAGCAGCATCAAAATGTCTTTTTTGGCACATTCTATGCATTTCTCTGGAGCAATATATATATAAATGGGTCCTCAGAGTGAAACGGGTACAGGAAGTGAAGTCTACATTCATTTCAGTCAATACTTTGCCATGTTCTTGAACATACTTAGCCATTCTGTTCAGTAACAGTGGAGGAAATTGGAGCACATACATCATTTTTCTTTTCTGTGTGCACAAGGGTTAAGGTCGAATTATTTGTAGGAGTTAATATATGTGTAAAGCTGAACTCTATGTACATTTTTTTTTAAAACACTGATTCATGAAGGTTTGAGTTATATCTAGGTATATATCTATCCAAGTATCTAGTGTAAGTACATGAATATGACTTGATATCAGTCTCTTGCAACATCTTGGACAGCAAAGATTAAAGTAGGAAAGGAAGAAGCAGCACAAGTGTATACTGCAGTGCTTATGTGCTCACAAGGAACATGCTGACATTAGCAGAGAACAGACTCACAGAGAGATGAGCGCATCAGTCTGTTGCTTCTCCTTCATTACCCAATCAAAGCCTGAGGGCAAGGACAAAACCTATTTGAGGTCTAGCTGAGGACTGAATTTTTAATGGATTGTAGGTTGTTTTTGCTGTCCTAGGCACGGGAAGTGAGGAGAAATCTCCCTCATGGGGTTATAGACAGGGATAAACACCTGACAGAAATGTTAACTCTACCTCGCTCTCTCCAAAACGTCAAGACATGGCTGAAGTTAGGCCTTAATAAATGAATTAATGTTAGGATTTAAATAAAGAAAACCTTCCAAATTCCTTTTTTCTTAAACATAAGGCTTGTAAATCATAAAGCTAGATTAATTAAAGGATTGATTTCTGGATATTTAATGATTATACACAATATTCCAAAAGAACATCAGCCTGAAATTCAAAATGTAGGTGATCAAGACTGACCTATCCTCAGTCAGATATGCATGCATTTCTATAGTTTAATGAACATTTTACTATGAGATTAGAGCCGAACAAACCTCTATCCCATATTCTTCAGGCATGTTTTCATATGCATAGGATAAGGCAACTATGCCGCGAATTGGCTTCCCAGTGCAAAGCTCTAATCATGTCAGCTTGAATGGAGACATATGACAGGTGCAAGTGACTGCTTAGATGTGGCTTTGATTGCTGTGTAACCAAGCAAGAGCAATAATGGTACTTTTACAAATGTGTTTGGGGATGAATTTATGTTCACTCAGGGAGTCAAAAGGAGCAGTGTACTGAATGTATAAGATTAAATTGTACCTGTCATCAGAGAAATATAGGGGCTGCCAGTGATGACCTCACTTTGAAAATGTTAGTTACCTGGCTGTGCGTGGCTTCAGTACCTGTGACTTACTGAGCTAGAACAAGCAAGAAGTAAAAGAGCTTAATAATATTCATTATCTCTATACATGTTTTGGGTCCAGGATTTGGGTGATTTGCCAGGGGATTAGAAAGACAGAAGGTCAGCACCTCGCGTTTTTAGGAAGAGAAGTCAACAATGGCAGCCTGTATATTTTTCATATGATAGGTTTCATCTAAAAAACAAAACTATTGAGCATTCAGGGCTTGTTCACACCAAATGCAGACCAGATCCGCATGAGTTTCTGCACACGCAGTGCAGTGAGTTATGCCGCGTTTTTGATTCGTTCAGGGCCGTTTTTGGTTTAAAAAAATGCGTTCCAGAGCAGGTACAATAGGGCTTGCTGCAGTTTTTTTACATGCTCTGGAACTGAACGCTGCGGTGTGAACTAGAGCCCTAAAATACCATTGGAACACATTGGACGAAGTTTTGATCCAGTCTGTATCTGCTCTGCTCCTGGAACGCGCTTGGTGTGAACAAGCCCTCAGTGGTGATAAAAATCTGCAGTATGAATGCATTCATTTACCACCTTGTTGTACTTTTTCATCTTAAATTGACTATTGTTGTTTTTACTAAATTTCACTGCGTAGAAAAGCTAAGTTTTCTGAAAGATCTTCTACATTTGACACTTCTGGGAGTGTCTGATGGCACCATCCTCCACTGTGCTCTGTAGCTCCATCTATTGGCCTCTACACCACTACAGGACACAGTACAGAGGAAGGGGGTGACAGAAGGAACCACAGTGCACAGAAAGGGACCAGGCATCAGACACTTCCTTATGTGTGCTGGATGCTGAAGATCTCTCAGCAAGCTTAAGCTGGACATACACTGCTCCATTTTCAACTAAGCCCTGCTGACATGGCTGAAATGTAACCAGCGTGTGGCCTTGTCATCACCCCTCCATTCATCAAGAATCAATTTTGTTAATCGAGTTTTGTCAAAGGAGCTGGCAGAACAATGACTGTAGTCCATCATCTGCAGCCACTGTGCGGGTCTTTTGAAAGCAATAGGTGTGCCGCTATCAGAATACCCGAACAGTGACTGCAGCTGATTGGCGAAGGGATTTCCCCATCCATGCTGTTTATTATGGAAGAGAAAATGGAGCATTTTTTTTCCTCTTTTAGCACCAGAGTTTAGTGGTGTGGACAGATGGACATGCAAGAATTTATTATTGAGCATTGAGCATTACAAAGTGTTAGAGTTCCAATTAAAAGAGTATGATCTGCAGTCACTACAGTGTAATATATCTCCTACTATAACTGGTCTATGTAGAGTATTGACAGTCCCATCAGTAACCAGACTGTACGTGCCTGCTGCAAAATGATCATTTTATTTGGTTCCCAGGTCTGCAAATTGGATCGCCTAGTGTGTACACCACTGAGCGTACTGCAGTCCATGTTTTCCACACCTCAGAAGCTGATTCAGAAACGTTATGATAAACTTCTGGACTATCACAGTTGCCTACAAAAGCCAGCTGACTCTCAGTTGGACCAGGCAAGGAAGAACTATGAGGCCCTCAATGCACAGCTACTGGAGGAGCTGCAAGTGTTTAACAAGGCTGCACGCAGCATCCTTTTCAACTGCTTCTACTTCTTCATAGCCCTGGTGAAAGAAATCATGTCTGCTGCCAGAGAGTCTTGCTCACATGCTGCTGGCACATTTACGGTAAGTGATATTAAAAATAAGCACTTATCAAATAAGGCAGTGCAAATAGCAATGATATACTGTAACTTAGAGCATCCAATCAAAATCCACATTCAAATCGTCATTTCTTGCAAACAAATCCGAATTTCCGATTCGTTTTTTTTGGACGAACTTTTGTTTTTTGGATGAAATGTCGGTGCAGCAAATTGACATTTGAGAACGAAAAAACTTTTTTCCCCTCTTAAAAGTCACTTTGCTGCAACGAACGAAACGAAAACTAAACAAATTTTCGTACGGATTTCTGCTAACGAATTTCGTCCGAATCCGAATTCCGAAACGAATTGACTTTCCGACCCGAATTCCGAAAAACAAAATAAAGCTGAATCCGAATTAAAACGAAACTAAACTAAACAAATTTTTTTGCTGGTGCACATGTCTAATACAAAATCCCTTAGCCTAGGATCACACCGGCACTGGATGTAAAATAGCATCCTACATCCATGTTGTTAGAGTCACATTCCTCCCAAAATAAAACCATGCTCCCAATAAGAAGCAATTTAGATCAATAGTCAGCCGTGATCCAAATGTTGCATGGAATGTTCAGTCCTCCTTGCTGCCCACCACTGCCCTCCAAACTATGACCTGCCTACTCAGCCATCACCTCTGTTTGCTTTATCAGAGCGGCAGTTTGACTTAATACATCTTTTTAGACTGGATATCTGAGGGGCACGTTCCAGAGGTCAGAACTGTCTGCCTTTACAAGGACTTAGGGCACAGCATCTATTGAAATTATAGTGGAATCTATTGAAATTATAGTGGAATCTATTGGAATTATAGTGGAATCTTGGAAAATAGTGAGGAATAGGTTTTCCAATGAAAAAAGTGGATGGTGAATCTCTTGATTTTCTCTTCTTCACCCCGCATGCAGAATGAGAGAAGTCAAAGGCGACTTTCACACGGGCACTGTCCGTTCTGATCAGCAGGGGATCTGCTAATCAGAACAGAAAGGAATAGATGTCACGGACCCATGTAGGTCCAACTACAGACATCCCAACTCTCCCGGACGTACCGGGAGTCTCCCGCTATTAGATAGCGGTTCCCGGCCACCCGGGAGAGAAACATTTTCTTCCGGAAAGGTTTATTCTGCCCGATCTAGCGGAGTAAACCTTTCCCTGTGATCTGTTGTTTTGTGTTTTTTTTTACTCTGATATCGGAGCCACCGCCATCAGATTAAAAAAAAAAAGGACAGCATAGAAATTAATAGCTAGATTGCTTTTTTTAAACTCTGATATTTTTACTCTGAAGTTCTCCATCAGGTCCTCTCACTGCTGATTGACAGCAGGAGAGGGCGGGTGCAATAGGCAGCTTGCTATTGGCTATTGCAAATTGAAATAGCCGATAGCAATCTAGCTATTCATTCCTATGCTGTTTTTCTTTTATTATTATTATTCTGATGGCAGCAGCTGTCAGAATACTGAAAAAAACACCCAACAGATAGCATTGGAAGTGTTAGCCTCTTTGCTATCTGCCATCATTTCAGGGTGGTGCTCTCCCCCCCTACCCCCTGGATGGAGGGGGGGGGGCAGAGGGCACCTCCCTGAAATGACTTTTTTTTAGTTTGGGATCCCTGCAACTGTATGGACCCATGTTAGGTCCAAGGAACGGATGGATATGCGTCTGTTTACATCACATCACCACTAATACGTTATGATCAAGTCCACTAAAACAGAACTCTGTTTTGTGTTATTTTCCTGGACCTAGACAAAGTTGGATGTAATTGGATGAAAAAGAAAGCATGTCCATTTACATCTGGCTTCCATAGAGTTACATTTGGCTTCCAATCAGATCCCGGGTGGATCTTATCGCACCACCCGTGTGAAAGGGGCCTAACTGTGTATGGCTAGCCTTATCCTGGAAATCTATGGGATTAAAACAGTTGAAAAGCTGAGTTTTAGTAAAAGCTGGAGGAGTGTCTCTTTGCAAGACATTTTCAGTTCACGATTAAAACACAATCTAGAAGTCCACACATTTCTCAGATTGTTTGTCATTTTCAGGAACCTCAAACAGCTTTCATTCTGTAATGGGGGGAGGAGGGTTGCACTGCAAATTCTAACAAAGAGATAAGTGTGCCCTCTAGTGGATTCAAACCTGTATATAAAATATTACCAAGAAAAATATCTTGCAAGCAAAAAAATATGGAATCCTTGTCGCGTTTCAAAATCTCAAATTGTATAAAACACATATGTACAGTATTTATTTATTTGCTTTTTTTCAATAACACTGTAAACCTTATATATAAGATATTATTTTATGATAGTGTCCATTTAACAGGTAAGGTTTGTTCTGCACCCATCTATAAATATAAAACATAATGGATTTCATGCATGCTGGCATTGGTGATTTTCACATTAAATCCGTCTGGATAAATACAGTTTCTGGAGATAATAGAGCCAATATCGTAAGCCAGCATGCCTTTCTCCTCTCAATCTCACGCACCTTTCTGTATGTTCACATCTGTTTGGCTCTAGTCCCGGATTAACTCCCTGTCTCCCGGTGAACCTGGACATTGAATGATAATTAGCACAACAATGCCTTCTGAGGCTTTGTATTAGCAAGGGAGTTAAACAATAGGATGCAAGAAGTATCAGCAGTCACATGGGTCTTAGTATACCGATAAGCCACAAAAAGAAGCAGCTTATCTGTGTTGCCTCAAGCTTATCAGCTTCCGGTTTATATCCTGCTCAATCCCCATAGAGCTGAGCTGAATTCCAAATAGCTTGGTATCCACACAGCCACAGCCAATCACCTTGCTCATATATCTTCTGCCTGCGTAGCGTGAATCCTTTTACTTTACCTGACATTTATTCATAGCAGATCATCATCCCAGGAAAAAAAAAATCAGTTTCAGGAGACAGGCTGGAGGCTCTTCAAGGAATATTTCTTCGGAATCTATGTTTGTGGAACATATAACATGCCATTCACATTACAGTCAAAATTCTGCATTAGTGGTAATGTAAAATAGAGTCTAAAGCTCCTTTTTCCTACATGCAAGCAGAGCAGAGGCCCAAAGCATTACAAGAAAGAGGGCATAGACCGTTATAGGTCAGTGCTAGCAGGGGTTTTCTTTGAGATTATAAGGTTAAAGGGTTGCAAGGATTAAACATCCCTTGGCATCTCCCTTCGCTGAGCAGTTGCAGAATGCCAGCCTTAGGCCAGATGAAATGAACTGTAATAAATGAGCTGTTATAGTAAAAAGCTGTGTGAGGTGGAGGTTTTATACCGGTCATTCATAACCATTGTCATAGTCTCATTTCATTGAGATGAAACCCTGTGTTATACATCAGTGTTTCTCAACTTTTTTCAGTCGCAGCACCCTTTAAAAGTGCAAAAAATCTCAAGGCACCC